GGATTCTTTTTGGGAATTTTGACAATTTCTCTGGGTTTTTTTTCGGATTTTCGGATTTTGAAAGCTTTTTTAGATTTTTTGGGAAATTTTGAAATTTTTTCTTGATTCTTGCGGGAGCTTTTGAGTTTCATAGCGGGCAACACTGGCTAAAACATGAAATTGCAAACATTACTACATATTTATATAAAAAAATTCATTTTCTAAAATCTCGCTAGGGGGGGCTCAGCCCCCCCTCCTGGTTCCGCCACTGGTTTTGTTATATTCATTTTACTTAATGTCTTCATAAAAAGCATTNCTAAAACATGAAATTGCAAACATTACTACATATTTATATAAAAAAATTAATTTTCTAAAATCTCGCTAGGGGGGGCTCAGCCCCCCTCCTGGTTCCGCCACTGGTTTTGTTATATTCATTTTACTTAATGTCTTCATAAAAAGCATTGCTTACAAGTAGTAGAATAGAATATCAATCATCTATAATTTTTATTTGATTCCGTTTCTGTTGCGTGAAAAATTATGTTTACAGATGTATCACGGTTGAATTTTTCGATAACATATATTGTTTTCACTACTAAGATTTTTCATTTGTCTAGAAACGAATGAACCTACAGTATGTTGATTCCGTTTCAAACCGCTCATATTTTCCACTGCGGTTACTGTTTAGTTTTACTTGTTTTAATTATAGATGTATATGAAGGCTCCCAAGTAAAATTGGGTTTGGGACTTCTCCGTTAATACCGACGCCCAGACTTCCTAAATTAGTTTTAGTTAACAATTTTTATTTTGAGGAAAAAATTAGAATTTAGTTCGTACAATGAATTGATATAGTCAGATTCTGATTATTTTTAGCCTTACTTTATCAAGTAAAGTCCTTTCGGCATGCATACTTTGTAGGGATTATTCTACTTATTGCACATAGCGTTTGTAGCAATCATGCGAGTTAACATGAAATTGTATGGGCATTTGTGCTCGATACGAGTATGAAATATGACTACGATAATTTGCCATAGATCGCGCTCTATCTAAAACCTCCGTGTTTTACTTGGAATATATTATGGGCCACATTATGATAGGAAATACTCCAATTCTGACCTAAGATATCCTACGTAATTAAAACTCATTTTGTTTTTCGATTATAGATTCGTTTTTCAATCCATCATCGCCAGAATGTTACTTAGAAGATCAATACGATCCTCGTAGTCAGGAACAACAGCCTAGAAACTATTATGAAAATCCCAATGAAAATGCTCCGTATCGGTATGGATTAAAATTTCGTGACTTGAATAATGTTCTACGTATGTCTAGGTATTCTCATCGATCCAATCAAGACGCTGCTCGAAAGCGGTGCCCATTTGGTTCCGCCTGCTATAACACGACGAACCTCAAACATCTATCCGAGTTCTCACATGAATAGAGTTAACCAGACATAAACTAATGATTTTGATTTAAAATAACTAAATTATGAAGTATATTATACTTTTCTTGTCATTTTCTAACAATTGAATCGATTTTAAAAGATTCTCAAATTATATCTTATGAACAGGGACGGCGCGAAGCAATAAAAGTTAGGGGGGGTTATTTTTAAAAATGGGAGGAAAATTTAAAAAGTCTATAAAATGGGAGGAAAATTTTAAAAATCTATAAAATGCTAGAAATTTAGTTTAAACTGTTAAAAGATAAATAATTAATAAAATAATATTTATTGTTCGTTCATGTATTTAATTGAAAATATTT